AAACAAAAGAATATGTTGACAGTTTTAGGCAGGAAGATAGGAGTTTATTCATGAATAAAGTTGCCTAACCGCCATGTTGAAAGTCATGTTATACCAATAATGTTAGCCTTAATTAATTGTCAAAGTTAAATATTACCAAAAAAATTATCTGAAAGTCATGCATATAAAAAGAATTCTCATGCAACATTAGTTTCATGCAAGAGGTGATCTATAAGTAGACCTGTTTTCATTAAGTAGCTTGGGAATCAAGACTTGTTTATCTCAGAACTGAATAAAGAATCCAAAAGACATATTTCCTCTTACCTTTAAAATAGCCACCATAAATAGATTCACCTCCTTTCCCATTACCTATGCATTGAAAAGCATGAATTAAACCCATTGTTTCATTTATGAAAGAAGCTGTATGTAACACCCCACCAGTTCATAACAAACCAGGATACTCTTGTCAGTTACTGGTATCTGAATGTAAGTTTTTTAATTAAAAAAGTCACAGCTGTGCATTATCATGTTGATACTCAAAATACTGAGACAGAAGACTGTCACAGTGCTTCTGAACACTGGAAAGTCTGAAGCAGAGCTTCAAAGGCTAATCCTTGCTGGTATTCGCTAAAGCAGCAGCAGATAGAAAAACAAACAGCAAGCAAAACAAACCAAAAAAAAACCCAAAAAAACACAAAACCCAACAGTAGGTATGACCAACAATCTTGCCTGGCTCAAAGCAGCTGAGACCCCACCAGAACGGATGAAATAAAGTAGCCAGCAGTTTTAAACGCACCCTTACTTCTACTTGACTCTCATAACACCGCACCTGTATTATCAGGTACAAGATTTCAGGACACAGTGAAGACGACAGACATTATAGTAAGGACAAGTATTTCAAGGAAGGACAACAGGCTAAAACATTATGTTGTACACACACTGCAGGGAAGGAAACAAATACTCCTGGAAAAATCTCCTTTTAGAGACTTACCCATTAAACGCTTCTAGCTTGTTTACTACTTTATTTTTTTTTTTATTATTTTAAGAAACAATATTATTTATTATTCACATAGTTATGTCCCTGTATCAATACAACATTACTAGCGATGCCTCTACTGCAGACACAAGACAAAAGCAGTTAAGCCTACAGTGTGGATTGGAATTGTTTTAGTAAGACAGGTGTTATCAGCTACAAGGTTTTTTCTTTAAACACATTTTTCTAGAAAAATATTCAGTTGAAACATTTTAGAATTTCAAAAATTAACAGAGAAATGGGTGATCTATGCAATACTTCACTGCAAATGCAGTATTTTTATGGTACTGTAATCCTTCCATGGCATTTTTTAAAGTTACATTATAACCACGTAAGTTTTAACATTTCTGTTCCATTTAAAACATTTCAGTTTTAGAAGTGTATTTTACCTTCGCTGAAGTCCCCACCCTGAATCATGAAGTTTTTAACCACACGATGGAATGTAGTGCCTTTGTAACATAGCTTCTTTCCAGTTGTTTTACCAATTCCTTTTTCACCTGCATGAAGGTTAAAAAGAATCTACAGATTGTCACTGAATAAATTCCAATGGTTTTACATCCATTAGCATTAGGCAGGTAAAAGAGCCATCAGAATAACACAAAAGATAACAGTCCCACCTGTTGCCTTTTCACCCCCCATTAATAGCAGAAGGGACCCCTTTACATGGGGACTCTCAAGGGAAAATTAGATTTCTTAAAAAAAATTTTCTCCCCTTCTAAGAAGGAGTGTACTTATTAGCAATCCACTCAGGACAATTTATAATAAAACAAGAGTGTATGATAATGATGGATTAGCTACTTTCTGTGGTTACAGTGACACTGCTACATTAGCTGAAGCTTACAGCAGAGTCCTTTTCAAACCACCTATACATCTGATGTGCCAGCTGACTCCCAGAACAAAAATCCAAGCTCGGAACAGGCTTCAACTCAGTTTCAGTGTGCTCCACTCTTGAAAAAGTGGGATTGAGCTACTCCAAGCATGTGTCACATGTTCACTAATCCATGCACAGTGCCAGACCACCCCTTAATGCCAATCTGCCCAACACCAACCCTCACCATCTCAGTATGAAATGTGCACAAAACATACACCTATTTCTGAAAAGACTGACAGAACAGGGGAACAAAGCTGCGTCTACAAGAACCATTCCAGGACAAACTGAATGAGAATCCTAATCAGGAAAAAAAAAAAAATCCCCCAAACCATAAACTGGGACCAGGGCGATTCTTGCCCAGCAGCAGAAGCCAAGCCAGGCCGTGGTACTTGTTAATCCTTTCTGAGCCTGAGATTTCCTAAGAAGTGTCACTCAGCAGACTCCCAGCACAGCTGTAGTTCAAGCCTACTGGTGATTTTTGAGAAAGATGTCCCAGAACCTCAAGCTTCATGAACATTTCTTCCAAAATTCAGAAGAAAAGCTGCACTGAGCATGTTGATGAGGGTACTATGACCGGCAGGGCAGAGATCCTACGCAGTAGGTTCGTGAGGGATTTATGCTGGTCCAGTCAGGGAACACAGAAGACACTGACATTAGCTTCCAAGAAGAGGGTAGCTGGCAGAACACAACCCTTAAAGAGTAATAGGTATATTATACTCTGTGCAACAGCTGAAATCCTACATAAGCCACATGCACAAGAGATATTCTGTAGTGTGACAGGGCAAATAACCCAATATTCAGTTTCATCCCTCCACTGGTTACAGAACAAGCATTTGACACTTGGTTCCATACCACAGTGCTCTCAGAAACGCAGATGTACTTGGTACCCAGAGATCTATTTTTGCGAACTATTGTTCCTCCACCCAAAATTAACTGTTCGCCAAAGCACTGCAAATTTGCCATTCCAAAGAGCCCATTGCTGCCAGGATGATGGCAAAGAACAGTTTGTGGTACAAAACACACTCATGGTATTGTTGTTTATCATACTTGTAGAAGCCTTCACACAAGAGAATACAACTTATTTTCCATTACCCTGGCTCTCCATGCCTCTTTCTACCCCATTTTTATTTTCCACATAAGTTATCCAGGAAAAGCTATTTATTACAGGGATAGACACAGCTCCTTTCCCCAAAAATCATGTCCCTCTGCTACAGCACTGGAAAACCCACGTCAGTCAGTACCAAGGAGTACATGCCTACATTGTTGCCCTGGTTCAGCTAGGACAGGGTTAAGTTTCCCCAGCAGTGGGGAGGGAGCTCTAGCCAGGTTATTCAATACTGTGCTGACATCAGGTCAGGGTGCCAAAGCGCGGGAAGAGCAGGGACAGCTTTTGTTCATCGTCACTGCTGTATCCTTGTGGTATCTCTTGTACTGTTATCTCTTGTCCTGTTCATTGTTATTATTGTTATTGATATTGTTGTTGTTCAGTTTATTATCTGTCACACTGTTGTATTAAATTTTTCCTTATCTTAACCCCAGGGTTTGTATCTCACTCCCTGCCCTGTCCGAGGGTGGGGGAGGAACAACGGCAACATGGTCTCAGGTCCCAGCAGGGCCTAAACCACCTCAATTGTCTACTCATTGTAGTTCTACTCATCACCCTCTACAACTCCCTGAAAGGAGGGTGCAGAGAGGTGGGGACAAGTCTCTTGAGCCAAGTAACATGCAATAGGACAAGAGAGAACGGCCTCAAGCTGCCCAGAGCAGGGTCAGGATGGCTCTGAGGAAGGATTTCTGTGCAGAAGGGGCTGTTGGGCATTGGAATGGGCTGGCCAGGGCAGGGGGGGTGTCCCCATCCCTGGAGGGGTTGAAGAGTCGGGTTGACCCAGTGCTGAGGGATCTGGGGGAGATGGGAACGGTCAGGGGGAGGTTCATGGTTGGGCTGGAGGAGCTTCAAGGGCTTTTCCAACAGAGGTGATTCTGTGATGCTGTGATTGTTGGTCATGTCACAGCATGTCTCTCAGGCTATGAATAACCCCCTCAGAATGGGATCCTGCACTGCACTCCATGTAATTGAGCTGGTACATTAAGGTGAGAGGTGAACTGTAGACCATGGCCAGAAGTTGTAATCCCTTTTTGACTCTCCTTTACAGTATTGCCAAAACAGCATAGTCCCTATCATAATAAATGGCAATACTTGTGGTGTTCCCTTTTTTTCATGCATGATACAACTGTGGTTAAAATCATCGCTCTCAACTACTTCCCCATAAGCCACAGACACTTTAGACAATGTGCTTAAGCTACTGGCAAAATGGTGAAATTCCTGCAGGAGATGTATTATGTCATTCTGATTTTCAAAACCAATCCTTGGACTCCCAGTCAGGCAAAAGACAGAGACCAGTTGTTCCTCTGGTCAGAGCTGCAGCACCTCCCCTAAGCTCAGACACTTTTCCACAACAGCCACTACAAAGCCCATGAGCTGGGCTTCTTTTTTTGTTTATGGCCAAATAGTAGTTTTATTCTTTTTGTCCTAAATGTGCATTAATATTGTCTGGAAAAAAACCCCAAAACCTGTCTTTCAGCCCCATCTACTTGCACCCTTCCTAAGCAGTTCTTTGCATGTGCTGGAAATCCCTTGGAAATGGGAAGGTAGAAGGGAACTTACACAGTAATTGCAAGGCACAGCCCATTAGCTGAGGAGGGCAAATACAAAGGCCGTTATCAAAGTGTCCTTCTCCCTTTAGCAGGTAAACTCTGCTCTCATGCCCTAACACCTTGCACTGCCAATCTGAGATATTTTGCATTAGATGCCCAATAGTGGTCTCCATTAGACATTATGAGACGTTCCTGACAAAGCACCGAAGAGCAGATGTGTAGTGGCCAAAATAACATGTCAGTGGTTTTTTGTTTGGTGTTTTTTTGTTGGTTTTTTTTGTGTTTTTTTTTTTTTTTTAATGCAGGGCAGGGGCTGTTTATTCTTACAATAGTACATACTTATGCTCTCAAAGCTCTTCATAATTAACAAATCAGCAATTAGACAGTTATCTACCTTTTCTCCTATCAGCATAAGGCTACTCTAACACATGCTGTGCAGACCAGTCACCTTCTTGTTCACACAGCATTAACTTTTCACAGTTCAGTACTTTCCCACAGTTCAGTGTTGCAGCTGTCCATTGTTTTTCCCTGCCACCTTGGCACAACTCAGCAGTTTCTTATCTTTCTTCTAAGGCCAGCTTTCCATCAAAGCCTAGCTGCTTCTCAGGGGCTGCGCAGAGCTGACAGGCCGATGTCAACTTGCCTCTTTCCCACACAGATGGGCTTGTGTTTATTCAATAGGTGGCCCGACTGAAGGACCTGCAAGTCCAGATGTTTTAATTTAAATGCAAGGAGCTGCTTGCTGTCAAGGCAAACAGCACTCTTTCGTAGGAGCCAGGTCTATTTCTGACAACAATGTCAGGCTGCAGGAAGGCAGCCAAAATCACCCTGTCCTCCTCCATCTGTTGCTGGCAAAAATATCCTGACTTGCCTCATAGATTATAGAGGGAGCAGCAGGCACAATGAAGGGCATAGTATTTGAAACACTGGTCTCCAGTCTTTCTCTCAGGGCATATCACTTTGCCTTGAGACAAGTGAAACCCCTCTTCACAAAGGCACAATGGAAGTGCAGAGTTCAGGTCAAGTTACTGCGAGGTCCGTAAGAGCATAAGTGAGGTCACATGGTACTCTGCAGCTATGATACCTTTATCATCCATAAACCAGGTCAGTATCCATACACACTGAAGGAAAAAGAACATGCTGGACTGGCCTAACATGCAGAATCCAGAATTTATGAGGTACAGAAGCATACAATGCTTGCAGTCTGCTGCTAAGATATTCCATTATGTAGACTATACGGTCCAGAAGGGGATAGCATCCCCTGTTACACAGCTACATACCTCCTTAGATGAGCATAGAACTTGCATACAGCTACACAAAGATGTCAGCACCAGAAAGTGATGCCGTACTGAGTAAACCTCTCAATTCAAAGATTTCTTGCAAAGGACAAAAAAATAATATACCTGATAGAAGCTCACACTTCTGTGATGACTTAAATTCTACGAATGGATCTTGCTGTGATAAGTGGCAGGAGTCAGGGGAGCCTGACTTCTGGAAGCAAATGACTTATTTGGTCTCTGAAGATGGTATAGCAGCTCACAACTCTAAAAATTTAAAGCAGCCCTTCACATCTCAGTTCTGGCTGCCAGAGATCAGTGCAATCTTACCACTAAGATCTCCCATCACAGAACTGCTGCTCTTCTGAAGATAGGCTTTCTAGGTCCTCTAACATAATCCAGGCAAATACTGAAGCAGTAGCCCATCTGGAATGCTACATCAGTCCCCAGGGACAGGGGAAAGTATGTACCAGAGAACTGCTGGATGACGAAGATTGGCCTGATGCTCCAGGCCACAGCTGTTGTCTGCAGCAACATGCAGGAGGCAGCACCCTGCTGTAGGGTGTTCAGTTCCAATGCTGAGGCAATCAAGGTTCTAACAGGACAAGGCAGGAGGGCAGGGGAAATGGCACACATAATGCAGATAACTAGCTGAACAAAGTATACTGGAAGAACTTGTCAAGGAGCAGCAGAAAGGCAGACATAACAGTTGATAAGAAAAAACCTCAGGCAAACTGAACAATAACAGATGTAATTAGTGCAAGTAAGAAAAAAATTAATGGTAGACGCGTGACCCTAGTCTCCAAGCTCAGCCATCCTGAGGTCAATGAGCAGAAAAGAGATGGCTTCTACCAGCAAAACAAATTAATGTATCTTTATTCTCTTAAACTTTACATTTTACAAAAGAAATTAAATTACTTCAGGTTCTTCTATATGCTTTTCTCTCCCACACAGAATTTAATCATGGTTTTATACGCAAATTTTTAAAGATATCTGTCAAATCATCATTCCGCCCTATGAGTACGCAAACACAATTTGCAAGAATGAAACAAATGTTTCAAGTAATTTTTAAGTCTGCAAGTCTGATCTCAAGAGGAGACCTCCCAATTTTGTGCTTACTTTCAAATGTTCTTCCAATTAAAGACAAGCTCCAGCTGAAGACATCAATGAAACCTGTACAGCCAGCTGTAGAATTCAAACTGGGATGCAACACAGAGAAGTCAGACTTCTGGGTTTTTTTTAAACTTGTTCTTTCTTCTGCTTGTTTCTTTCCTCATCATCTCCAACACCTCTTTCTAACGTCCACATAATATTTTTTTAGCCAAGCTGCTGTAAGGATTTAAACAATCCTTCAGAGCTACAGAATGTGAGGCTCAGACATTACACTATTCAGTCCACTACTGCATTTTACTTCTCATCTTTTTTAACCTATTCTGATTAAGATAAACTTCAAACAAGTTCCTGTTTTTCTATGAGAGTTGTACCATTCTTTCCTATCCTCAGTCCATCCCTAGGTATCTCTTTAATAAGACTAAGCGATAAAAAAAATATCAGAAAGCAGAATAAAAAGAGGGGGCATCACCATAGACATCTCAAAAAAGAGAGATATGTACTGTACCTTCCACAAGTTCATAGTATTATAAAATCTCTTTAAATCTTCACAGAGATTATCTAAAACCTATCACATTCTGGGATTTGAGCTCTGACAAGATGAACTTTAATAAGTTAATGCATAAGGCTATCAACAAATTTTTTTTCATATAACCAGTTAGCCAAAAGCTGTTCACTAAGGCCAGATGTTAAAATGCTGCCTGGAGAGTCTTGCTGGAGTGTTTTAATGATTTGTGAAAGAGTTATTTCACGTACAAGGTAGGGGCTTCACTGATGTAGTTAATTCAAGATATACTGCAAGTTGCTGAGCAATTAGGTATGAAAGACCAGGAGATGACCAAGAGACACAGAATGCATTCTTCACATAACACACACACCAATTTCTGTAATAACCTAATCAAGATTGATCTTCAAGTCACAGCTGAAAAGTCCCCAAGGAACAGCATAGACCAAAAAAACCACCCACCAAACCCTTACTAACCTCACTCTTTCAATCATTAGAACCCATTTAAAAAAAGTTAAGTCCTGCTTAAAAAAAAAATGGGTTAGAGGGTGCTACATTACACACAGACATTCTTTTGCTAATGCTGTCTCTTTGATTTCACAGATCTCTCCTCTCTTTACTCCCACTTAACAACCCCATGACTTCTAAGGCACCATCATATTCCCTTTTAGTTCTTCATTTAGCTAAGAATGAAAAACTTTCTCATATTTAATAGATGCTCCTGTCCTCTGATCTCTGCATAGCACTTCTATACACCTGAAAATTTTAATATAACCAACATTTTATATAAGAAAAATATATTCAAAATTTTAAGTAGTGTCCCAAATCAAGTGTCATCATTATACTGTGCAGTGATATTAATACTTAATGTCCATCCTGATAAATCCTAAAGAATCACTTGCCTTTATCACATTTGTATAACTTAAGTGATGAATAATTCCACCGTAGTCACAGCCTTGTCAATCACTTCTACCTACAGGAGCCCCACATTAGCAACAAAAGTAATGATTTTTTTCTATGAATTCCCAGTTTTGCATTCTGTAATGATGTATTACCTCCACTACTCTAACTCACAGTTACAGAATACCACTCTATTTCCTGCTATACATTATTCACATCCTCCTCAGCACTAACAAGTCTCAGCTTTGTTTCTACCAGAAAAAAAAATGACTAGCACTATTATTATGCTGTGGTTTATATTTGCATAAACAAATAATAATTGTAAGAAACATTAACATTCTTAAATATAAGCATGTTACTTACCTGAGCACAAGCAAAGGAAGTTTTTGCAAGTCTTCGGACATATGTCTGAGAAAAGCTGAAACATAATTCGACCAACTAGAAGATTAAAAAAAAAAAAAAAGACTTGTATAACTCTTTATAATGATATAAGAAAATCTGCATATAAATAAATCATAATGTTTTAAAATTATAATTTACTGAGAAAGTTACTTTGTCAGAATAAGAAAACACCTCAAATATGTATCATATTTGTAAAAAAAAAAAAAAGATTAAGTAATATCATTATATCTCATTTATTAAAAATACTAATGATTCCACTTTGACTTGAACCTGGAAAGCCAAACTGATTTACTAAAACAGTTTACCTTGTCAATTCATTTTTCTTTTGAAAAAGAAAATATTTGCCATAAATACAGGCCCTCAGAGAGCTGGGGTAATTTCCCCTCCCCAAGTACTATGTTTATACAAATAGATTAATATTTACATTTCTACAGCTTTCCCTGTGATCATTACCTAAAAATCCAACTGACTTAGTCCCATACTGTGTTAAGGATTATAGATACATTGGCACTCTTGGCCTAAAATCCTTGTGTTTGAAAAAAACAAACAGATGAAGCAAATAGTAAAGATGAAAGTCCGACAGACCAATACTAGAAGTTTCAGGATTAAGGCTCTACTTGCCAGATACTATGAAACAAATACTACTTTCTGCCTAGGCAAAGTCAACAGAGTAATAGTAATTTTCACTCTCAGCACAGCTACCTCCAATGCTACTGGTGGTAGTTATGCTTTGTACCTTGGAAAAGTATTAAAATACTGCTGAGGAGTGGTTTAATATAAAGAAAAACTTTTTTAGAACAGATTCATATTTTCCATTTTATTTTCCAAGATACTGGGATGTATATTACTGAAGACAAAAACCAAAACCCTCACAAATATATGAACTCTTTAAAAAACCCACATAATTAGCAAATAAAAAGTTGTTAGCTCTATAGGTTGTGAAGTAAGCCATAGAATCTACACGGTTGGCCAGCGTTACAAGAAACCAGTAACAATCTGTCAACGAGCACTACCCTCTAGTGGTGTACACTGGTAAGACTTCAAGGTTAATTTTTTTTTTAAAAAGTAATGCTCCAGGAATTACTTCTGTTTTCCTTCCCTTAAAAAAAAAAAAGTAATTGACGTTCAAATGTATTTTATTCAATACTTCATCACCAAGAAAAATTCTGAGAGGCTCCTAAGAAACTGCATTCAATTTTAGGGCTTTGTCCAAATGTATATAATTGCCAGTAAGGTGAATTGTTGGTCCAAAAAGGGGAGGAAAAAAAACCACCAAACACA